CACAGCGTATGATGCAGATGAGTGGATTTGGCTTTGATCCATCAAAGGTATCAATTCAATCTGTTTTATGTTGAGTGTTACAGCTTCAAGAAGTCTTAGATGTTTCACATGGTCTTATATTAGTCAAAATCCTGTTATTTATGTCTTTAATGGAGATTATTTTCCTTAAGTGGCATGTATAGTAAGCAAATTAGAATTTTTATTTTAGTAACACTTGGGTTTTAGTCTAGTTTAAATCCTTTTGCAATACTTTGTTTCTTAGGGTTGTTTTGGCAGATAAGTTTAGGATGATGCCTTAAAAGTTATTGAGTAGGGAATTTAGAATAATAGTTATAGGTTTCAGCCTCAGAGTTTGAACAATTTGTCTTCCAAAGAGTCCTTGAGCTTAGAATTCGATTGGTCCTACAGGCAACAAAGGTTTGCTACCTTTTACAAATACACTTATGAGTTATGACAAGTTCTCTACTTATTCCCAAATCATTTTGTTGATGTTACATTTCTTGAGCATGTAACTTGTATAATGTTTGCCCCACGATCTTGGAGGTGGGAAGATGTTTGATATTGTATCCATATATATATATATATATATATTGTGGATAAGCTTTGTGCTTGTATTATATCCAAAAATTAAGCAGTGAACTGCTACAAGTAAGAGCAAGTAAAGAATCTGTACATGCCCCTTTACAACCAATTAAGTTATACCACAAGCTAAACATAATTGTCTATTTACAATATCCATCTTTTTTATTTACGAAGAGCTCTTTATTTATATCTCTTAGGAGAATGGCTTGTGGAATATATATTAGATTCATCCTTACATGTGGGAGAGACATGGCTGTTAAGCTTTTTAGCCAAGGGAAAAATGATTGCTGTTGCTGTTGGCTGGCCAGTTTGTTTATGATTTGGTCTTGTCCGCAATACTTTCTTGTCAATTAGAAAAATTGTTTAGAGAGGGAATTTGGCATTCCATTCCCATGATGATGTGCCCAATACTGCACCAGCAGTGTGCTACCTGCTATTGTGCTGCCACAATCTTTTGTGCTTCTGATTTCTGTGCTGCTTGGGTGCCTGATTCATATAGGTTTGTGCTGATGTGCAAGCGGGTCAGGCTTTTCATCATTTCCATGTTCTATTGCTTCATTAAAAAATCATGCCTGTCTCTCTCTTTCAGGCATTATTGTGAATGACCCAACTTTTTAGGCTAGAGCTTTAGCTTTTTTCTCCACGACTTTAGTAATTGCCCATGATTTTGGGGTTTTGATATTTACCTGTTTAGAATCTTTGTGGTAGGAATTTCAGCCAATGCTTTTCTCAAGATCACCAGGTTGTGTCCCCCTTCCATTTTGCTTTGCTTTGGGGTCAAATCAATAGCGAAAATGATTATAACTACATGAAACTTTTAGTTCAATGAAAATGAACCAAACTGTTTTTGTGGTTGATATGGTTTAAATTTAAGAAATGAAGATTCGTTTTCTAGATACTGCTTGGGAGGCATTGCCTTCTTCATTTGGTTGATATATGGTTTAAATTTATAAAGCATCCTGTAAAGAAAGCCAGAATAAAAAAGATTTTGTTTTATTTCTTAACTTTGCCTGCGACCTAATCCTTTGATTATCATTCTTATTAGAGTCTGGGTGCTGAGAAAGATGGTCTTGACATTGTCCAACATGAGTGGGCGCTCCCTAAGTTTGAGCATCGAGCTGAAGCAGTGTTGAGAAAACTCACCATGTGAACACCTTTGGAACATATAAAACAGCCGTCAGAAGAGGTTGGTTTGAGGTGAAGCTTTCCTATTAGATGAAATACCTTTAGAACCCATGATTTAGGCTTAGACTCGGGAAAAATTTGCACCATAATTTTTTATGCCTTTGTCCACTTCGTTTCCTGTGAGATTATAACTAAAGAATTAATAATCGTCATCATGTTGTCTGAATTCTTTTAAGACCCAAATCATTATTGTTGCATTCGGCTGACTTTATACCGGTGATCCGAAACTTTCTATACTTCATAATATGAATATCTTGTTGGCCCATACCTGGTAAAAATGTTCAGTTCATTGCCAGCAGAAATCTTTAGCAGGCCTCGGTTATTTCTTTGCAGCAAGCAAAAGCAATTTCATTTCACTGCCAGTAACGTTTGAGCATCGGTCCTGTTGATGGCCACTCCTCGTGGCTTTCTGAAAGCATCAGCCCAGAGGCCACACAAAGACCGAACAATTTCATTGAGTAGCGTTAGCCTTGGTGGTACTAATAATTAAATCAGTAACTGGTAACCAAACCATGTTCTCCGACTCATGGAAAAATTTTGTACCAAGTAGTTTTGCACAATACGGTAAAGATTTTGAAACCACCTTCAACAATCAAATTACAAACAGCCTGAAACAAGGTAGACAAACAATATTATCAAATCTGATGACTGTCAAAATTTTGAAGTTAATACAGAAGAATGTGGTAAACGGTACGTAACTTCAAGGTCAACTTAGACTAAACATTTGTGGAGATCTGAAGAAATGTTTATTTGGGTGGATGGTAGTTTTATGGCTTTTTACAATGACAGGATCATGCGTGGTAAATCAGAGGGAAAGCAAAGATACATCTTTCTCATTGTCAACAGTGGATTTCATCTTCTGAAAGCGAAAGGCCGAAGGGGTGAAAGCCATTAGGAAAAGCAGCAAATTTTCAAAATAAATGAGGGAGTGCCGCCGTCCTAGACTCCTCCTTTGCCCGCTCAATTGCTTTGCGCTTTACTAATGTCCAAGTTATGTCTGAAAATTATTATATATTAAAGTGATTCCGATGAATATCTTAAAAGGAAAAATAGAAAAAAATAATTCTGTTGATTCCTTTATTTCAAGTCCAAAGCACTATGAAAGAATTGTCTTCTATCCTTTACAAGGACATTAATTTTATCTTTTAACTTAATTAATACAAAAATTTTAAACAATTATTATAATAAATCATGTAAATATTGAAAACAAAAAAAAATCACAAATATTATCTATCCTATATTTTAATATAAAAATAAAATTGTGATTTATAAAACTCTAACTTGATTCATCATTCAAATAATTAAAATTAGACTGACTATAATTCGACTGAATAATGTAAACCAAATTTAATCATTCACGTAATCAAATATAGATTGATTGAGACTACACTAGCTGATGACACAGACTTGTTTGATGAAGTCAACTATAACTGATACACTGTTCTCTAAGAACATACAAGATGAGATGACGCGAGTTAATAGATATGGTAGTATCATTTTTGACGGCTATTTGTTTTGGTTAATACCTAATTTTATTAATATTGGCATAATAAAGTGGAAGATGATGGTGGTCCTAGCAGGTAGACCCAGCATTGAATTAGAGGGGGATGCATGTGAATATAATGAAGGTGGAAATGGAAGTTTTTCTTCTTCTTCTTCTTCTTCTTTGCATGTGAAAATGGAGGAACGGAAATTAAGCAAGGTTTTCTTTTTCCTTTTTTCCCTGCATGTGACTGTAACTATGAAGAAGGTGGGAAATAATGCAAGTTTTTCTTCTTCATGCAACTGTAACTTGCGAGGAGGAAAGTGGAAACTAAGCACGATCTAAATGCAATTTTTGTTAGTCTCGTCCAATTCTTTCTTTTGCGGATCCATAAATATTTTATTAGAATATATATATATATATATATATATATATATATTAACAATAAAAAAAATTTAAATTGGATTGGCTAAACATGTAATTAACCGAAGAAAATTCAGGTTCCAGAGTGGGCACAAATAAAATTTCAGGGTAGACAACATCAATAAAATAGATAATTATGTTAAAACAAAACCATAATAGATATGAAAACAAACCAAGATCTAATCATGTCAAACCATCAAGAATAAGAAATACTAGATTTGCGGAAGCGTACCTGAATTAATTAATAAAGATTACCCAGAAGCATGAGATCTTTGAATCTTTTTTTGGTTGTGATCTTCCAAGAAGATCGATTTGCTCTTGCCGTAAAAACTCTCTAACGGGATAAGAGTAATGCAAGTTAACCTATTTCTTGGGGACCACCTACCTCTTTATATAGATTGAATATTAGGTCAATCTTTTAAGTATTTATAATTCTTATTAAATTATAAATACAACTTATGGTATCTACACTTTGATTCCATGACACTTTAATACATGTAGCACATGTAACATAATTAGTCACTTAAATTCTGTCATACTTTATGATAACATCATATGTTCCCACAAATATAGATTTTAATCCAACAATCTCCCACAAGGGCAACATATGTTTTCTGACAAATGCACAACTTTAAGAGCTCAAAATTTGTTATCATATAATAAGTATTATATAACAATATCGTCCATCAACTTTATCTATATAGGATCAAAACAGTCTTCGTCATATCAATCATGACTAAACTCATCAGTGGTCATGTATACAAACATAGTCAAATGACATAGATCAATCATGGAGCATATCATAGAAATTACATGCAATGTGAACCGCACATGTCTATTTCCAACTGGTCCTCTTTAAACATTAGTGAGATCAAATTTTACTAAAATCAGAGTGTAGATAAACCAAAACAAACTTTATTTCTGCAGAAAATAACTTTAACATAAATAGCCTTAAATTGAACGAACTGAAATTGTGTCTATCATAAACGAGCATTAAAAATTACAAACTCTCACTAAAACTGAATATCCTTAAATGATATTACACCCAAATTAGTATTGTTCTCATGAAAGACCTTAGGTGACAATTCTTTAGTAAGCGCACAGTTATGAGTTTGTACCAACATGCTCTATAAACACATAATCACTCTGAAATTTCTTTAACAACCAGAAACATAATGTCTATGTGCTCATACTTAAAATGTTTATGTTATATATGAAAAAAATGACTGCAACTTAATAGTCACAAAATAACTTAAGTGATCTTTCTTATCAATCCATAATTAGCAGTTCATGTGACAAAATTTTCCATACATATTTCAATAAGTCGGAGCCCATAAACCTGATGATCTCTTACTTACTAAACATACGATATGTGAATATGTAACATTTTTGTTCTTAGATGTATTGTATGAATCAATTTGACTGCTATCCAACGATTCATACCCAAATTACTTAAATATCTACTTAATATTCTAAAATCATACGTTATATCCAAATGCATATAAATCTGAGTATTCATTAAACTCTTCATTTACTTTTGAGGCATAAAGAACCTTTAATATTTCCTTAGTTTCAAAATCATTCTTAGGGCAATGATCAAGACTAAATTTGTTTCTTTTAGCAATAAGATATATCATTTGGTTTACACCCACTAAACTTATATTATATACAATTGTCAATCAAATTCATCTTAAGACCAAACAAGATAATCTCTTGATGACATGACGAAAGTTGATTAGATCATCTTTCATCATACTACTGTTATCCTTATTTCTTGCAGAAACATAATAATCTAAAATAATATTTCTCTCATCTCGTGGACCTTCCTAATGACACTTGTTCTTTAAGGTTGTTGAGTTTGTTCCTCCATAACAGTTTCAAATCTTAAACTGAGAGTTGTTTCAAAATAACTTTGTTGAGATTTCTAGATTCACTTCTTGATTAACGACATGTATGAACACATGGATATCACCAAAAATAATAATAGGAATTGAGTTATAATCCAATTCTTCCTCAAAATAAATTTCTCAAACCTTATTTCTCCTTCCAAACTCAATATCCTAAAATATAGTGTTATGGATCTCACCTTAATTATGAGATCATAAAACTTATAACCCTAGATTGCTCAAAATAACCAAAGTAGTTGCTTACTATTGTAGAATTCAATTTCTCCTCATATGCCCTAAATTATCTCAAGAGAGAACAATCATTTATAACATATTGTTTGTAACACCCGTAACCCGTATAATTATACCTAAACAGATTATAAATGGCATCCATGTTTCGAAAACAATTTTCTAATTCAAGAGTGATTTAAAATTTATTTTCTTAAAATGGTAAATGATATTATAAAAATATCATATCATATGAATTTTGCTTCATTATAACAAATTTAAGGCAAAATATTTTTTATGAATAGTGAACAGTACCGTGAACAGTGAACAATGTAATGATGCACAAAAACATCAAATTAAAAATGTGTATCGATGCACTGCTACAGTAATTTCAGCAATATATACAAAACTCATAAAATTACCATTTTGTTTCCAAATTTGTACAATAATTCAAATAGAATATTAATAATTACATGCCACTATCTAAGTCAAAATTCCATCATAGGACGTCTTACTGATATTGTAGTGTATTTCTGGATGCTCGGAGTTCCTTGTACTCTTTACTCTATTCTTGGCTTTTTACCTACGCGTGAAAATCATCACACGTTAAGTATATACTTAGTGAGGCAATTTAAAACATTAAACAGTGCAATACAATTCATGCATGAATTTCAATGTCAAAACAAATGTCATAAGATCATGTTACATGCATATCCAATATTTTACCATATACTTACCATTCATTCCATAAGCTCGTAAACTTATTTAACCAATTTACTTATCGTTTAATCCCATAAGCTCGTAAGCTTATTTTACCAATATACTTACCATTTAATACCATAAGCTCGTAAGCTTATTTTATCAATATACTTACCATTAAATACCATAAGCTCGTAAACTTATTTTACCAATAAACCATAAACCATAGTACATAGACAATAGACAATAGCCATAGCCCAATATAACACCCTGAGGACCCTGGGTACACGAGTCAAATATATGCACAGTAGTGCAATCCTGAGTATGACACATAAGGTCGTGTCCACCATCTGTACTAGGTATCCTTAAGTACAGTCCCGAATATGACACATAAGGTCGTGCCCACCATATACACTAGGTATCCTTTAGTGTATTCCCGAATATACAGCCTGCTACTGGACTCTATGGCATGCCAACTATACCCTGTCCCTCAATGACTTACTTAGGCATACAGTCTATTTCATTCATCCATGGTATCATATAACCATATATTTAACATTGGGCATACATACCCGAAAACATTCATGGTAAAATATCATGCATTATCAATGTCATTTCAATTTATAAAAATGACATAATATCATAATTTAACATTGGGTAATTCATAGCCAAAAACATTCATGGTAAAATATCACATTTTCCATGATCAATGCATTATAATTTCATATTGTGACAGATCAATGTCATGTCAATTTATAAAAAATATGACATAATATCATGCTGATATAAACAAGGTAGACTTATCGCAAGTCTTCCTGATGATGTATAAAACATCCATGTATAATGTCATGCATGTATTGCACTCACCTTGACACTTTATATATCCAATATATGTACTTCACTATGTTCCACAATAAACCCTTTTTTATACTTGACTTGCTTCAATCGCAAATTAATCACAATCTGTATAAATCACAAATTCATAATGATACATATGTTAGTATTTTACTAACATAAACATATCAAAAAATAACTCCATAATATACTTGAAACTCATTTTCTATCAAAATATTTAACACTTAATAATTCCTTTTAACATTGGAACCAACTTTTCCAATTTACTCAAAACGATTCTTCACCATTTTATCACTTAGATTCTTAATATCAAAAATTCCAGCATTGAATTTATCACTATTCAAATTCTTTTACAAAAGCATAATTACATTTAAGTACCCCAACTATGCAATTGTTGTACTTAAATCACTAATCTTTTCAAACTTTTAAAATAGTCATATTTCACATCTAAACACACATTTCAATCCCAAAAGAGAAATTTCCAGCATAGTACATCAACTATTAGACAATTATACAACCATTATCAACTTTTTCCAAAATTATGAATTGGTCCCTCAACTTTTTGAAAATTACAAAATGGTCTCCAAATTTTCTAAGGCCTGTAGAATACTTCCTATATCATTTCCAGACCTTATATAATTTTTCCATAATTTTCTCATCCTTTAAGACCAAAGCCTAATGGTTTAAAGATAAAAAAAACTAGGTCTTTCAATCACCTTATAACATATCTATAATCAAATCCTTTATCAATTCTCATCAGAACACAAAGTTCTACAAAGTTATTCTTTTGGCCGAATTTTTAAAAATTATTATAAGAAGATTGAACATGTTATAACTATCAATCAAGCTTGAAAATGAATCTACAACCTAAAAAACATCAAGATTCATCATCAATTTCATGATCCCTTATGTGAACACAAATCCTTGGATTTGGGATCTTTGAAATCCAGCAAGATTAGAAAGTAACATTGGTACCAAATGATAGCGTTTTTCTCGTAGATCACTTTCCTATTTCACGACATAACTCCAATTCCAAAGGAATTAGCTCAAAAATTGAAAATAAAATATTTTTCTTACCTTGGAAGCTTTCTCACGTGAAGATGCTGGAGAAGATGAACATTTAGCATGATATTTTAGATTGATATCATATTTATCATCTTTTAAAATAATATTTAATTCATTAACTTGGAAAATACCAATTTACCCTTAATAAAACTTCATAATCACAATTAAACCAAGATATTTATCCTTATCATCATTCAAATCATATCATCTAAACCTTAACTTCATCCATAAGTCAAATATGAACAAATTATATCTTAGTTTACCGATTTGCCTTTGTAATTTTCTAAAAATTGCAATTCAGTCACTTTAATCAAACAATTCAAATCAAACATGAAATTAAACCATTAAATATTATTTTCCAACATTTTAAAAATGTGAAAATAATATTTTTAATTACTTATTTTCGTGACCCATATGTAACTTTTTAATATTACATTTTGGTCCCTAAACTTTTCAAAGTCTATACTTTGGTTACCAAACTTTAACAAATTTATAATTTAGTCACTAAATAAATCCATTTATGAAATAAAATTATTTTTGGGAAAATTACCACTTAATTCCTTAAACTTTTCCTAATTTTCTAGTTTGACCATCAAACTTTCAAAATTTGCATTTTGATCATTATCTAAATTTTGGGGGTATTACATTGTTGTCTCTTTTGAGCTGGATCCTTAACAACTACATTCTGATTTTATTTTTTCCCTTATCTTTATATGCACTTTTCAAATGAGTATTTTAAAACTTATTATGCTTCAATCTTTCTTCCTCTTTCACACAATGAAAATGAGCTCATTCAGAGTTTATTTCTCCCTTTAAGTTGATTAAACTTAATAGGAAGCGATACTAAAATTACAAGAGCAATTAATTATGTAAAAAAAAACTCGATCTTAAGTGGCTTAAGTCTTAAAGCAATATGAAACATATTCATAATGTACTCCCTCACATTTCCTTGACATGTATAATTTATAGACATCAAAGAGACAAAAGTGATGTCATTTAAACCTTATTATTTTTGGGAAAACATTTCTCAATTTCGTTTAGGAAACTATTGACCTAAGTAATCTTTTCAGATTATGTGACTCTAAATACTTCTAAAATATTGTGCTTCATGACCATTAAATTCATGGAATTTGAACAAATTTCACCTCTCAAAATCCAATTAAGGATGTTATCCCCCATGAGAGGTGGAAATTGTTCTTTCCTTAGTGCATAGTCTTTGTTCGTACAACCAAAACCTTGTGAAAGTGCATTTTCTCATTTTTTTTAGATTCGTTTTCTTAAGCATGAACAAAAAATGTACAATAGCAGATATTGTGTTAGCAATAAATAAATAATTAGCTGAATATAGAACAAAACATAAATAAAACTGAAGCTCGCATCTTAAGTAAACAAATAAATTCAAAATAATAATTAATTTCCATCACAAGATACCAAACACTACATCAATATCAAGTCTTTGGACATTAATATTAACAGTAAACGATACTCTTGTTGTAGTAATCAAACATAGACAATAAGATATGTCGAACAAAAGACTAATCTTTGGACTAATGTAATGCTCACATAAAATAAATACCTTATAATTGTCACATGTTATTACGACAAGTGTTGCTTGTAATCCAACCAAATATTAACTTTCATTTGGACCAATTAATAAATGCATGAATCACAAGAAATACATAATCATCTTGACATTTCAAATAAATCAGTCTATACAAAAGATGTCACTTTGGCGAAATTTTGTTTCAACAAGTCTATTAAAATATTAGACTTAGCCAAAATATGAACGAATTTATTTCAAAATATATATTATAATAACCAATAACCAAAACTGAAAAATCGAATTGAATATACATATATTGCATTAACAATATATATAAAACCATAAAAATGTTGTCAACCAATCAATTTCTCTTAATTTATCTTTTAAGTAAAAGATAACCAAAATAATATTAAATTTGAATATACATAAACCTTATCTCAAGATATCAAATACTTCTTAATATTTCCTTTTTAGACAAAATATTCACTTTAAGTGATATTTGATGTGGTAACCAAACATTGATAATAAGAACATGTCAAGCAAAAATCTTTTTTTGGGTCGATTTATTACTCACACGTTAAATCGAATAATTATCACACGCTTATTATCAAAGTTGTACATGTGATTATGTTAATTACCACTTGTTAAAACCAAACTATAATATATATGAAAACAAACTAGGATATAATCATGTCATACCATCTAGAACAAGAAATACTAGATTTACGGAAGCGTACCTGAATTAATTGATATTACCCAGAAGCTTCAGAAGCTTGAGATCTTTGAATCTTTCTCTAGTTGTGATCTTCCAAGAAGATATGTTTGCTCTTCCCGTAAAAACTCTCTGATGGGATAAGAGCAATACAAGTTAACCTATTTCTTGGGGACCACTACATTTTTATATAGATTGAATATTAGGTCAATTTTTTTAATATTTATAATTATGTCTCTCATCAAATTATAAACACAACTTATGGTATCTATACTCGGATTCCATTACACTTTAATACATATAGAACATGTAACATAATTAGTCACTTAAATTTGTGTCATACTTTATGATAGCATTGTACATTATACATATATGTGCCCACAAATATGGATTTTAATCCAACAAATTTATCGAAGAAAATTCAAAATTTAAGGTGGGCACGTGTACACCCTCAACCCTCAATGATTCAGTCATTGATTCTCTACTTAACTGTTTTCCTGTTACAAGATCGAAAAAATTATTATAGGTAGATAAATAAAATTATAAAATAATAATATAAACTTACATAAAAAATTCTAAATGAAAAAAATATGAAGATAAAGAAATTTTACTATATAAAAAATAGATTATAAAAAATTACATAAATCATAATTATTGCGACACATGCATATTAATCCACACAAATTTTCTCTCTCATATAATCTTAAAAAACCTTATTTAAATATTTGCAAGTGTATAGACATGAAAAATCTTAAAATAAATTTAGGAACGATTAATGTCAAATGATTAAGAGTTATTTGATCATATATTATCTTATATTTATTCCAGATTAATAAAAAATAATTATTATTTTAAACATTGATAAAATAAAAAAAAAATTAATCATATTTTTATCAAAATTAATTATATACATAAAATTTTAATTTTAATTTAATTTTATATATACAAAATTAATATTGATTTTGTAACAAAAAAATTAATATCGATATCAATATGCAAATTTAAGAAATAAATACATCAATTATAATTCAATGTTGGATAAATAAAATTTTTTGTATATATAATTTGTAAATTTTAAATATTACTTTATTAAAAACAGTAATAAAAATCAATTTAAATTTAAATTTTCTGTTGTGGATGTATCCTTATCCATGAAGCAATAACAAAAGCATTATTCATCTGAACTTGTAAAAATTATAGTAAAAATACCTAATTAATTTCTGTGGAAATTAGAAAGTCAACTTCTCCTTTGAAAATTTTTGATCCAAACTGAAAAAACCTGTAGTAAAGCCACACCCCACTTTTTACTCGAATTGGTTAACGTGTCAATATGTTATTGGTCCTACTGAATCTGTGATGTTGTGTAATCCTATGTCGGTCCGCAAGCGAAGAGCACTAAACACACGGCTGGGCTGAGCTGAGCTGAACCCAAACTAAAACAATGGCAAATCGGCAATGAGTAACCGACCAACCAACAGTTAGCGTGAGTGATTCATGTGCAAGCAAATTCAACGGCAGCCGTTGGATGAAATAGCAGTCAATCACAATAACCAAATCGCGGAAAACACCGGGAACAAAAGCCAAACGCACCATCATTCATCACTGTGAAAAGAAAAGAAAAACATAATCCAACGTAATAAACTGAGTGACTTTTTGTTGAAAGAATAGGAATCTGTATATCGAAGCAAGGCGGTGCGGCTAGCAGAGCCGTTTAGCAGAGCCGTTTCTCAGAGGCTCTCGCAACCAGCTGCGCCGCCAAACACCGCCACTACCGCAAACATCTGCGACGAGTCATCGCCTACCAACATGAAGGGCCTCTTCAAATCAAAGCCGCGAACTCCCGTTGACATCGTGCGGCAAACGCGTGATCTCCTCATCTATGCTGATCGCTCCCCCGATAGCCGTGAATCCAAGCGCGAAGAGAAGGTTCTCTTCATCAAGCATCTTTAATTTTAGCACATTAATTATTTCGATTTTTTCTTTGTCGATCTGGCTGTACCTTTTTTCCTCCTTTTTTTTGGAATCTAAATGTTTTCGAATTTTGGGTCCGACATGAGTTAAAATAACTGGAGCTAGGGATTTTAGTTACCACGCGAATTAAATGTTTGCCAATTTCTTTTATGTGGCTAATATTCGGTGTGGATTTTCAGAGCTTGAGATGTTGATTGATCGACTGAAAGTAGCATGGTTTCAGCCTCGAACTCTAATCCTAACATTTGTTCGTAATTTTGATTCAGATGGCAGAATTATGTAAAAACATAAGGGAGTTGAAGTGTATTCTTTATGGAAATAGTGAATCCGAGCCAGTCTCTGAAGCTTGTGCGCAATTAACTCAGGAGTTCTTTAGAGAGAACACGCTACGGCTCTTGATCACTTGTCTTCCTAAATTGAATTTGGAGGTAACGGTAACACCAATGGACTGTTAGTTTATCCTAATCGTTGCTTCTATGATAATTTGACAAGTACCTTCCTTTACAGGCGAGGAAAGATGCAACTCAAGTTGTTGCAAATTTGCAAAGGCAGCAAGTGCAGTCGCGGTTGATTGCTTCTGATTATTTGGAGGCCAACATAGATCTTATGGATATTTTAATAGCAGGGTAAGTGGCAATCAAAAACGGTTTGTAGAAGTTATGATTACCATTTCACCATTCTGATTCTTAGATGTTATTTCTCAGTTATGAGAACACAGACATGGCTTTACATTATGGTGCAATGTTGAGAGAATGCATACGTCATCAGACTATTGCAAGGTAAGCATAGGGGTCCAATTATTTCTTCAAGATTTAGCTTCTCATCCTTTTAGTGAATCTAAATGGAGAACCCAAGTCATTCCTCTTGGTGTTGCACTTAAGAGGCACTCTTGCCTGTTATTTACCTTTTATCTATCTCCATTTTGTAACAAATTTTCTCTTGATATATTGCTGTCTATATATGTCATGTTTGTCTGATTTACAGGTATGTTTTGGAATCTGAACACATGAAGAAGTTTTTTGACTATATACAACTTCCAAATTTCGACATTGCTGCTGATGCTGCCGCAACTTTTAAGGTTGAAATTTGAATACCCCCTCTCAAACACAATTTTTTTGTTAGTCTCTTACTGTTTCACTTCTGAATCTGTATTTATCAGTGGAATCTAGTTTCAGAACTACTTGCTGTTTGCTGTAATTTTTAAAGTAGGGGCAAGATTTGCTTTGCAATTTTAGCATTAAAAAAAGAAAAACATAGTTGTTTGATGTTGAGTCAATCCTGCTTTTCTTTCATCGAGTGCTTTACGTGGCTACTGCCAATTGTTACTGTCATGTAATATCTCATTTTCTTACAGGAGCTTCTGACAAGGCATAAGTCCACTATAGCTGAGTTTCTTTCCAAGAACTATGACTGGGTGAGTTCTACTCCTTTATTATTGTCAAACTATAAATTGTGAAGTTTTGATGTTAAATACTTATCATGGTAACTAAATAATTAGTTCAGCTCAGAAGTATCAGTATCTTTTTTTCTCTCCCCGGTTCTGTCAGCGTTAAATTGTCAGTTAGAATTATTTTATTTGCTTTGTCATGTTTGATTAGATATTTTTATCACATGATTGTAAACTGTAATGATGGTACAATAGCTATATCAATAGTCTCTGAATTTATTCTTCATGCCTCTTTTTATGTTGAAAGTTTTCATTGACTAGAGTTCAATAAAGAGCTTGTTTTTGGTTTCAGTTTTTTGCAGAATATAACTCAAAGCTGCTAGAATCTACCAACTACATTACGAGAAGACAAGCTATTAAGGTATGACACTTGAGAAAGAAACAGCATGCGTTTAAGTGGTTCATTTTCAATCAAAATGAAAGCCGGGTGCTTTTAAACATGCTTGAGTTCATATCAGTTAAAAGGGTTTGTTTTCTGATTTCAAGCTGAAAATATGAGTTTTGAGAAGTACATGGAGTAGAAAATGTTTCACACTTCTAGGACCTGAAACATCAATAATTTGTTAAGAGAAGAATCTCTCGAAGTGTTGCGTTAGATTTGATCACAACTCAATCCAATTGAAGTACCGTTTTTAAAATGTCAAAATCATGGTAGTATGATAGCTCTTTTATTTTAAAATTGTTGAAATAAGATGTGGCAGTGTCACTTGCTGCTTAACTTTTTGTGGCTTAGGAGACATTTTATATATTGTTTTCCTCTATTCTCTTCTTATGTTACAGTTATTGGGGGATATTTTGTTGGACCGCTCAAATTCTGCTGTCATGACCAGATATGTGAGCTCAAGGGATAATTTAAGGATTCTTATGAATCTTCTAAAGGTAAGATACTTCCCCAGATTTCTTTATTTCATGTTTGATTATTCGAATGTTATTTTTCTGATGTTTGATGTCGTGGTTAGTTGGTTTATTTTACTCTAACAACATACTATTTCAACATGAAGCTTTAGTTGCCACTGACTATAGTCAAGAATGATAGGCCTACGTCTGGAAATATTGTTATTCATTTAGTTTATGGGTTTAGGGTTGAAGTTTAGTACTGGACTGTTGATATTACCAGCACAGTAGCTGCAACCACATAGATTTTCCTTGTTCAAGTATTAAAACACAGACACAGAAGTCAAACACTAAATAGTGAAATCCTTTTCTGCAGGAATCAAGCAAGAGCATCCAATTAGAAGCTTTTCATGTTTTCAAGGTGTTGTGTTAATTTTTCCCCCCTTGGATCACTTAGATAGTAATATGAAACATGAAATGGCTCTCCATTTTCTTTGGTTATATATCTTTGTATGTTTCTACAGTTGTTTGCTGCAAATCAGAACAAGCCTCCAGATGTTGTTAGCATACTGGTTGCAAATAAAAGCAAGCTTTTACGTTTGTTTGCTGACTTCAAACCTGATAAAGGTACACTACGGTAACAAAACCTTTTTCCATGTAAGTTTACATGTTTGGCATTTTATTTATCTTTCCGGTTGAATGTCTTGCAGCTGACGAACAGTTTGAGGCAGACAAGGCTCAAGTTGTGAAAGAAATTGCCGCCCTTAATCTTTAGGAACGGCCCAGCATAGTTAGCTCTAATACATTATATTCTTGTTATTTTTGGTTTGAATGTTATTAAAACAGTTGACTGTGATTCACATATCGTTGTTGTCCTTTTAGGACCTGTGTGCAATATATATATATATATATGTATCTGGTTCTTATTATTAAATCTTTCTTCGTCGTTATCTGTAATTCTCAGTGGTTCCGAATTGGATGGATGGGTACATTAGCGTCTTGTCTGTGGAAGGAAAAGGACGAATAGGCTGCACATTGCCATATTCCATGGATCTTCTTATGACAAGGACACAACTGGACTTAGAGACTAGACTAGAATAACCTTCAACTTTCTAAGTTTCCACATCAGATTTGAATATTAATCTTCATTATTCGTAATAGATTCAAAGTATTTATATTTATTATTTGATTTTGCATTACTTTTATTAATAACATATTTAAATATGTATTTATTATCTGAGTTCACAAATAATGAATACAAATATAGACACCTGAATTCATTATCTTCTTTTCTTCTGTAAGATTTATTATTTTAATTTCTTTAACTTACTGAATGCAAATTTAGATTGGATAAAGAAGTGTATCTGGTTTGCTACTATTGCTATATTTCAACTGCAAATTGCTGTGCAAGTCCCCCACGTTAGGAAGGAATGCTTAGCGGATGGCATTTAAACGTGGATGGCAACAAACCTAGAGCGTGAGAAAACTAGAGAGAAGAAAATTCTAAGGAAATCCAGGGGCATTTTGTTTCTCTGGTAGCATTATTGTGTTATGTGAACTCAAAACTCATGGTCTCTTTTTGCTACCCGACATGCTCCCAAAATCATCCATCAATTTTCCTAACGCTTACTCTTACCAGATGATCTAACGCGGCTGATATTTTTTCTTGTTTTATTTAGTTGTTTCTGTAAATTCTTTGGAGTTCAGGTTGTGTTGAAGAGTTCTTGGCCACTGAAGTCGATGCAGCTAAGAAAAGCCGGCGAGGTTCATTTCTTTGATAGAAGAAAACAAGACCTCAGTCGGAGCATGTGGGGGCGATTATACCACCTTTGGTATCCCTTCTTATCAACGGATCCAGCATATGCAAGACAGATGCACTAACAACCCTTTATAAGCCGTGTTGGGCAAGGCAGAGCAGAGCAAGAGATGGTTATAGTTGATTGAATTACTTTGTTGATTAAACATTGTTATCTACACCATAAAATGCAACATCTATCTCATGTAAAATGCTTAGTTTTGCATCGTATGCATTTATACGTTGAACATCAAGTAATGTTTTCTTCATATCGACAATTGATGTATTCGTTGAATGTTAATTTGGCAGGCTGAAAGCTCTTCTTCTATTATTTAGCTGGCAGAGCAAGTGTGTTTTGTCATTCCGTACCTTGTGGAGACTTCATTATATAGAATATGCAAAAGAAAACGGTGCAACATATGAATTATAAACCAAAAACCGTTTGTGGGAGTAAATATCAAGAAATATTTTCATTAATAAGATTTCTTGTACAACATTTATAAGGTTATCAATGGACAGTAAAAGTA